AGTATACGTGTTTGGGGTCACTCAAAATCGCCGCGCAGCCTTCGATAGCGTCCTCTGAAAATTCCCAGCAACTTCAGCCTGCGGTGGTAAGAGTGATAACACAAACCCTTTATATTCTTTATTGCTCTTCGTTAAGGTGCATCTAACGCCTCTTGGTCGCGCTTCAACCGAGGTTGCCAAGCTTGGATAGTGTATTCAACATGCGGGCACACATAGGAATTGTGCATCACTGGGAAGATTGATGGGTCAAATCTTCCGAATGCCCTTCGCAGCATGCCGACGTGCTGCTTGCCTCTTTTCGCAGCTACTTCATACTGCTTTGAACAGTTGAGGTCGCTCTGTACGATCACACCAAGATCACGTTCCTGGATGCTGGTCTGCAATCCGTTTGTCCTAAGCAACTATGTGTAGTTATGTCTATGGCGTAATTGTACAACGTAACATTTGTCTACGTGGAATGGTAGGGCGTTTTGAAGTGACCGGTTGGACCGTATTAAGATCGCACTGGAGCCGTTCGTGTTCGTCCGGTCCTCTAATACTTCGCCATATCTTGATACACAGCGAAAAATAGGAAATCGGAAGCAATTGATCTCGCCAAATCGTTATTGAACACCAAGAATAGACGACGTCCAAGCACCGAGACTTGTGGCACTCCACACACCAGATCGATTGCATCGGACAATGATTCTCGGACTCTCACTGCTAGCTGCCGTTCCTGTAGAAAATTGCTAATCCAACTCAGGATTGGGTCGCCAATGCCGTAGTTCCGAAGCTTGTGAAGGAGAATTCGATGGTCTAAGCGATCAAACGCTTTTGAAAATTCCAGGTAGATGACATCGACTCCCATTCCATCATCAACAGCTTCAGTCCCGCTATTAAGTGCAATTAATAGGTTAGTCTTACACGAATGCTTTTGACGAAAGCCATGTTACTCTGGGGCTATTAAGTCGTGGCTTTCCAGCTCCTGCATCAGCGCATCTGCGATGAGTAATTCCAGCACTTTGGATAGTACAGGAAGTAGTGTTATTGAATGGTAGTTGGTACGGTCAGTGCGGCTATCTCCTTTATGGATAGGAGTGATTACCTCTCGCTTCCATACTGCTGGAATATGGTTCGCTTCTAGACATCACTGATAGAAAACAACCAGTGATTCTGATAGATCACTAGCTACCGCCTGCAGAGCCTTTGCTCGGATGTTGTCGACTCCAGGAGAAGTTTGGATACGCAAGGACAACAACTTCTTCAACGCAGCTTCTGCAGTGAAGGTGATGTTTTCTAAACCCAACGGTTGAGTAATAGAAACGGGAGGAATATTTGGGCTCGTTACCTGCTGGAAACTTTGTGAGTTATGATGCCGTAGAAGCTCAGCTGCTTCCATTGCTGATCGCGTGTACCCATCAGCCGTGACTAGTACTGGAATCCCCCGCTTTACCTTTCGAAGGTCGTTAACGTGTCTGTACAGAAGTTTGCGGTTCGTGAAGAATGGCTTCATTAACTCCTGCTGATGCGTGACCTTGTCTTCGCGGATCAGTTTCAAACAAAATTACGATGTGTCACGTATTCAGTCCAGGTTTCGGCATTCGAGCAGTCCTGGTGATTTCGCCATGCCAAATCCCTCCGGGACATACATTTACGTGTTCTGCTCCTCAGAAATCACTTACGCTTGTTTTTGGGTTGGCTGTTCCGATGCTTGCGCTACCTGTGTGCTCAACCTCTTTGTAAAGGTTTCCCAGGCAACATCTGGAGGGAAATCGGATAAGAAACTTCAAGGTGTATCCTTAACAAGCGTAAATAACGCATTATAGTGCGTGACAGTATGCACTTTATCAACCTCCTTTTCAGGATACTCCGCGTGGCATATATAGTCAAAGGTTAGAGTAACATGATCACTACCACCCATGGGTGTGCTTGTAACTATCCCGTCAACCATGAGTTCTTCGTTAGTGACCACTAGATCCAGTATCGACGGCTTGTTAGCAGTTCGAAATCTGGTGGGAGAGATTACGTGGTTGTAAAGAGGGTGGCTAGCAATTAGCTCTTGCAAGTAGGCTTTAAACTGCGTACCGTCGGTTTCCGGCATTTCTATGTCGTGCGCGTTACAATCTCCAGCGATAAGAATGTGGGTGCAGGACTTGTTCAAAGCAAACTGAAAAACGTGGTTCAGTTTGGTGTCCATTTCCAACATAGAGGTTGGTGCGCTTTAAATCCCGGCTAGTAGACATGTGTTCTTGTTTCGCAACCATAGGCGGTACCAAAGCGAATCAGGAGAGCGGATTTCCGGGTGATCGATAACTTCACATCTGAGGTCTGTATTATAGTGAAGAATCACGCCGCCACCCCTTCCGGCTCTGTTGGTCCGAAGCAGCGACGTACCGGGTAAGTTGATCTCATAATCGGTTATATTAAGATTTAAAAAGGTCTCTGTGATCATGACGAGGTCCCGCGGTTGTGAAACATGGAGTTCTCTAAGTTCGGTCAACTTGCTTAGAAGGCCTTGGGCGATTGTGTACACGCAAGATAGCGCTTTTGTTGCTAGGAGTGCGTTGATTTATGTTAACTTTGAGTTACTTTTTAAGCCGGCCATTAGGTGGCCAGCCATTAATCGTTTCTTGTTTTATGAATTTCCGTCATCTTGCATGGCATTATTGAACATTCCTGAACAGACGTTTCACTCGCGCTGTGTTCTGTCCTGTTGTGTGCCGTGGGCGTTGTTGTGTCGGTCCCTCCGCAGGACTGTGTAGATAAAGAATTTGCAGCGGTTGCAAGTTCCATCGATTTGCTTCCGACTTTTGCCCGTTCGCCTGTTGCCTTTAGCCGGATCTCTGTTGGCAACCTAGCTCGAAACTTTAACCAACTATCCAGCAGAACTTGCGTCATTCTCTCATTAGTCTTGGACCGCAGCCCTTGTAGTTAGGTGACGTCGGCAATCTTGTCAGGGATTTGACAATAACATGGTCAACAGTGAGTGCTTCGCGGGTTTAGCACCACTGCTCTCGGTCATGTGTTTGCGCATCGTGATCAGAAGAATGTAGAAGCTCGGGAACACCATGAACAAATATTGTTTTCTTGCTATCCCTATTAGCAATGCCGCGTTGCTCAACTGCTTCTTTTGGGCGATCTTTCCAAGGTAGATCGGGTAACATGCGCACTCCGCCTGGTGAGTTGGGAAGACGAACTGCTGAGAGCAGGACAGCGTCTGTCACATCTGTTGAGTTTAGGGTTACTCAAAGAATTCGAGGTTCACCAGAGTGCACTGAGGTCGGGTGACGCGCAACTCGTTGCAGCATAGTAGGCTCAACCCGAATACCAATCGCATCGCAGATGGAACTCCACTGGTTGCGATGATCTTGCACCTTGCCTTTATTCCACGACATCGAATGTTTACCTCACAGTTGCGTCCAACTTGGTGCAGCCACGGCGTATAGTTTATGTAGAGGAATCCGATCAACGGCATATGGAGGGCATGACTTAGCTACCGTAAATGTGTAAGCATTAGCAAAAATTCGAGTAAGGCATCAGAAGACTCCTTGACAAAAACCAACCAGCGGACCTCAGCGTTGCACACCGGGTGACCCCGCCTGACGTGAGCAGTTCATCGTAATCTTCAGTGGTCAAACACGGCACAGTGTTTAACGTGTCCACTGCGAACTGATCAGGTCTGTGATGCATACAGTAACATCGGCCTTATCGCAGCTTCATACATCCTACCTTTCACTGACAGGTTGATATCTCGCCTTCTCCATAGATGGTTGAGCCGATGGAAAGCCACTGCTGCCTTGCTGATCCGCAAACTAACTTCCTCAGTGATGTAGTGACCAGAGAGGCAACATCTACCAAGTTAAGTGGACCGATCTACCAGTTCCAGTGGTTGTTCGGTGATAGCTAGAACCGAAGGTGTGTTGGCCCAGCCCTGCAGTCGTAAGTTGCACTTTGTTCAAAACGAATGCTGAAGCACGCAGCACTTTGCGACAGACTATCCAGCAGTGTATGTATAGCCACCGCGTAAGACCCAAGGAGAGTAAAGTTTGTCAGTCGGTCACCTGCTAGAAGTTTCACTCCGAAAGTGCTTGAAAGAAAGGAATCCTTTATGGGCATTTCTATCACAAAGCTGAAAAGGAAAGTAGATATATGACCACCCTAGTGGACCCTACTTATTGTGGGCAGTTTAGGAGACAGCTTCCCGTTAACCAATACCCGAACGCGGGAGTTATGGTAGAGGGACTTCAGAACGTCAAGGAGTTTTCCAAGCACTCCGTTCTTGTGCATAAGGTATTTGAGTCTCTAAACCACTGCTGCAAAAACAGTGCCCTACCCAAGCAGCTTATCGTTCAATCAGTTAGTCGGTTGTTCAACTTCTGCAACGCGCATGGCAGTAGAGCGTAGGCCGCGCTACCTCACAACCAGTGACTTGGTCATGTCTTTTGCTGCTATCACCCGTGGCCTAGAGACTATCCGCTGCTCTTTCGCAAATTCAAGTCCCAAGGGGATCGAAGGAGTGTACATCGCTAACGCATCACCAAAGTACGTTACGGACGTCCGTACAATGTTTCATGTGAAGGAATGTCGACTGGGTCTGATTGCAACGAATTAGAGTTAAACCATCCGACTCCTCCCGTACTCCCTTCTGTGATGTAGTGGGGGATAAAACTAGGAAACATTACTTTTTGTGTTGAAATAAATTTTGTCTGCACGACTCTCTGCGCGGGTCAATGGTAGCGTACATGTACTGCACACGATCGCATGAATGGGATTCCGGTAGAAAATTTGTGGTGGGTGTTCATGTTGTTCATTTGAGCCAAAGTGATTATGCCACTGTGAAACAGCTGGTTTCATACTGCTCACAGCCCTTCAGAATCTCTAACGTTCACAGACAGTATGAAATGAACTAAAAAAGTATTTTGTGTGGCGTTACTTTCTCGTAGCTTCTCAATCGATAGTTTCTTTATGCTAAATCCTTTGCATCCAAACACTTACATTCTATACTTTATTTCCTTTTAAAGGGTACGGGCAAGACTGTGATTTTGCAAGGCTATTGCAAGAAATACGATCCGGAGATACATGGATTCAAGGCAGTGAACTTCTCCAGCGCTACCACCCCTAACATGTTCCAGCGCACTATTGAGAGTTACGTTGACAAGCGTATGGGAACTACCTATGGTCCACCCGCCGGTAAGAAGATGACAGTGTTCATTGACGACATAAACATGCCAGCCATTAACGAGTGGGGCGACCAGATCACAAACGAGATAACACGTCAGATGATTGCAATGTCAGGATTCTACAATTTGGACAAACCGGGTGACTTTATTACCATTGTGGATATTCAGGTGAGCAGTGATATCATCTAGTAGTAACTTGCTTCCAGAACAACCTGTATCATGAGACTAGAGCAAACACCTGTCAGGCAATAGAGAAAGTATGCGGTACATGTTAAGAAATATAAAGAATGTTCTAATGCTCCTTTGTAAGGACACCAGCAATAGATGGTTCCGTGATATGGGAACGTATATGAATACGTGAAACCGCATTTTCTGAGCAAATACTCCGTTGTTTGCAGATTTGAAGTGACTGTATAATACCTCTTTCAAAAACACAATGTAACAGCTAGTTACTTAATGTAAAAGTATTGTAGCCCACCTTTACATAAGAATGTACTCCACTGTTTTGCGTAGTACGCCGCAGTGCACACTTCATGTAGTGACACATCACACATTGGATCGAGTATATTAACCCACTTCATATAGTGACCGCATTCTTTTGTTTTGACACTGGTGCCAATTGATACCTGGAGCAAGATTTGCTGATTCTGTCTTGAAATTTTATTGTTTGGCTTCGCGTTTAAGAGGAATTTGTGGGATATTTATCTCTGTCAGACACAACTGTAAGTAGATTTTCACGATAGATCATTTGAAGGAAAGCATATCACGTCGCATTTGTTTATGTGTAGGTGATTTTCCCTACAGAAGCCAAGCATTGTTCATGACAGCCTCAAGGAGAAAATCCAAGAGCGGCCACCACCACATTTTGTTGCTTAAACTGATTTTATATTGACCGACTTTTGGTCAAAGTGCTGTACTTTCTAACGGTGCCAGATTGCGCAACAAGTGTGTGCTTTTTCTCCTTCACCGATCACCTCTTTACACTTGTTAGCGGATGTGCACCAGCAGAGTTGCTGGAAAGAGTCACAAAGGAGCTACCATTCCAAGACAAAACAAACACGTCATCTCGCCCGTCAAACCAGTAGTCAATAATACTCTTGTTTATTTTTCACATGGCATCCTTGTTGATGGGGCAGTTGCTTGTCCTATTTGCCCGAACTGTTCCAGTTGCTCTTATAGGTTAAAATTATGGTTAAATTATCGTGAGTGGCAAGCCTGTAAAAGATATGGTAGGGTCACCCGATGGGAGCTTGTCCACTAGGCCCATGACAATGCAATATCTTAAATCAAATGTGTTGTCATATGTGGACTGGGCTGTTTCGTGGTGATGCAGATAGACAGCATAGCCTAGAAGAGTTGAAATGACCCACTGTTTATGCTTTCCTCTGATCATTGTTTTAGTTCATGGCGACCGTAATATGGTAACATGCTTTCATCCACTCACGAATTTTCTTCCATGGGGGAAAGACCTCATAAATCTTTCATTGGAATGGTTATAAAGTGCACAAACTTTTGCAAAGTTGTCATAATTTGATAAATATTTCATCGAGGTTATAAAGTGGTCATACTTTTGCGCATTTGTTATTTGCTTAGAGATTGTTATTATTTATGATTGTAACAAATCCGCATCAATTCTTTGTTTGACTGATGGCTGCACTGTAGTCATCTCGTTCAGGATCCCAATACATGTGCCTTTTATCGCAACGGATTATAGCAATTAAGAGAAGAGTTAGGAATTGCACGCATTTCAGCCATAGCTATACTGTATGATGGATCACTTTTCGAACTGGTGTAGTCAATTGTCTGCCTTGTGTTCTCGATAATGGTGTTATCCAAGAAACTTTCAAATAATTTATGCGGTGCAAAATCCTCCTACAAAAAATCACGTGCACGTTCAGACCAGTTTCTCCGAGTCTGTGAACCTAGAGATAAGCTTTCTTTCCTCCATAGTTTGTTTGGTATCCTTTCGATGATTGATTGTATACATCTTACTGATTACTCCCTACAGCTCACAGACAAGACAGTCCACCCACTAATCCGGAAAAGCACCATACGGTCGTTTCGCTTTAGTAGGGATTGTCACCAGTGAGCATTCCCTCGGACAACTTCAGAGAACCGTAAGCACAACCGCTAGTAGCTTGTATCAACTGGCCACTGGGCCACTTGAGACCGTGGCATACCGTCATACATTGCAGGTCAACTTGGGCATTGAGTTTAGCAAGAGCCCCTATAGAGATTCCAAAAGCTGAGCCAGTGGCAGGGAAGCATTTATTTTGTAAAGCGAAAGGTTCCCAGTTGTCCTAGTTATAAAACAGATACCATTAACTTTGATAGATGGGGGTCGAAAAACGCACAGTATACGAAGCGATCGCGCGTCGCAACCAAAACGAGCGCCAAGCAAAGCTACTATTCGAATCAAGCAACTCAACATACACTGCAAACCGGGGAATCCTCAGACTGAAACATAGCCATGCTCCAGAAGAGACTGCGTAAGTAGTCCTTCGGTCTACTTGAGGACTGTCCGTCGCGGGCCAGCCTACTGCGATAACAGCCGGTGAAACCTGATGTAGCGGCTTGGGAGAAATCCATGTACCCGGTCCCTGGCTGGCTCCCACCTGTGTCTAACCTTTGGTGTGGAAACAAAAAGTGTTTGTGGTGGGGCACAGTTCAGAAAGATCTGGGTAGCATGCTGAACAAGGAGTCCGTTGTGCTCCTAGTTGAGGTGCGGGAATCCAGCGAAAATTGCAACCAAGGAGCAACTAACCGGCGGTGTGTATTTGGAATACAAAGGGGAAAAGAGCGACTTGAATGCATAGCTATCTACACATAAGAGGGTGCAGTCAGAAAATGCATGAAATAGTTTTCTGGTTTTCAAAAGGTTTTGTTATTTTTTAATAGTTTCAAAACGTTTTACTCTTCCGTTTTTGGGGTTTGGAAATCGTCCTTAAGGGCTTGGAATTGTGCGAGGCATGCTCTATAGGAAATTCCAACTAGAAGTTGCACTTCCCCATCATGTCGGTTTATAACAGGTTGAGTAGGGGTGCGGTCGGTGAAGGCTGTATGTTCCGCTGGAGCGGAGTGACTGGTCTGAGGTTGCAGTACTGGCAGTGTGGGCGCAGACTGAGTATGTGTGTGTTTCATCATAGAGTCAGCGTTGTCAAGAAATGTAGGCTTGAGTCGGTCAGTACAGATCGCTTCAGTTTTACCGTTGTAATCAAGGTTAAATGTTTTGTCAGTTCTGCGTACAACGCGGTACATGCCGGAATAAGGGGGATGGAGTGGCCAACGTACGCTGTCGGTGTGAATGAGCACGTGAGTGAAAGTAGTAAGACATTCATCCACGTTGGTATGCAGGCTCTGTGCTCTTGGTTGCACAGGTTAAAGTTGTAGCACCTGGTACGATAGGTGAGCTGTGTAAATGTCATAGTTCAAAGTTGTTGGCGCTTTTGGTGAGACAAGTTCATCAGGTAGATGCTGTGTTCAGCCAGAGACTATCAAAAAGTAGTGATGTGCAACCTCGCTTTCATCGCGTTTCTTATGCTTACAAGAACTAGCGGGAGTGCTTCGTGCCAGGATGGGCTAGATTGGGCGCAAAGTGATACCTTGAGTTGCCACTGGAAACTTTCGACCTTCCCGGTAGCTGCGGAATGATATGCGGCAGGTCCGTTGTGCTGGCAACCAAGTACCTTGATTAATTCGTCAAACTGTGCTCCTCAATCGATAACGACTATGGTAGAGCAGCCAAATTATACTACCCATCGTCCTAGAAAAGCACATGTAACTGTTTCCGATGAGCAGTACGCAATCGGAAGAGCTTCTGACCGACATGTAAACCTGTCGCCACAGTGTGGTACAAGATGCCTGTGCATGGTGGCAAAAGTCCGACCAGATCGACTTGAACGTGTTTAAAACGAGAGTCAGAAGGGGGAAAGACGCTGAAAGGGCTTTTAGTGTACTTGCACGCCTTAGCGCGCTGACACACAGCACGCCCATGCCCAGTTGCGAATATCGCGGTTAAGGTTGGACCAAACGAAGTGCTCGGTTATGAGCTTCTGTGAAGCACGTATGTCGACGCATAGTCATAAGAACTACGAGGCGGGAGAGGCATGTTAGAGGTCCCAAAATATGGCCGCGTCAGACTTTAGTGGAACTGCATGTAGTTTCAAAGTGGTGTTGCCTCGAAGCTTGACTTCTATATCAGGATCCTCTTGTTGGGCAGCAGCCATGACGGCTAGATCGATGTTGGGTCCCAGTGATAAGCTGCTCTCATGAATACTTGACACTCCTCCTGATGGGATTAAGAGCACCTGAGACACGTCGTTCATCTGTCGTGGACTGAGGGACGTAGTCCACACGTCTGGTTTGCTGTGGAGAATATCTGTCTCTCGCGCCACTGCTTGTGTTGATCAATGGCTTGTGGAAAGCGTCGACTTTCGAAGTAGTGACCAAAGTGTCGGATACCCAGGTGGACTGCGAGTAACTGTGTACTGCAAATGCTGTAACCCGATTCGGCTAGTTGCAAAACGTTTCGAGAAGAAGCGTATAAGGTATCCATCAATGGTCGATGAATTTTTGGTGAACTCCTCTGACTGCGATGTCCAATACGTTAGTCATCAGCGAGCGTGGCGTAGTTGATGCTGACTGGGCAAGAAGCGCTGTTTGAGATAGCATTATTGAGCTTCTCGAAAACCAACTGAGCGTCTTCTGGAAGGTGAAAAGTGTGTTTCTTACCGCGGTGCAAATCGCTCATTGGTTGCAGGATGCTCGCACGTCTAGGAATAAAGCGTCGATAATAGTTCACCAGGCCACAGAATCTGCGGCGCTGTTTGGACGGGCTATGAGCAGGATAGTCCTTTAATGCCTGGATTTTGTCTTGTAGAGGTGCAATACTAGTGGCTAATAAATTGTAGTCAGGAAAGCCAAGGTTGTTTTGACCAAGTTCGAATTTGTCGGGGTTGATAGTAATCCCACATCGATCAACTGTGTGAACAGAGCGTCAAGATGATGAGGATATTCGTCGTCAGAATAGCTAGCGATGAGAATGCCATCGAATTATGAATAAACGCCTTCGATTCCTCGTGTTACCTCATGAAGGAAACGCTGCAAAGTTTGAGCACCGATGCTGAAGCCAAACGGAGTGAAGACTACTGTTCTAGGAATGTGGTCTG